AAACAGATGTCTAACAGTACAACATAAAATAAATTATGTATTAAATGGAAAACAATTAGTTACAGGCAATTATTTGTGTTAACTATTCATTTTGCCAAAGAATGAAACATTAATAAAAACATTAATAAAATATAAGAACTTCAGAGGCAGGATTCCTAAGATTTCGGTAGTTGTTTGGATAAATTATTAAATTCCTTCGTAAATGAGCTTTCAAATACTGTAAATTTAGACAACCTTATTAGGAGTTTTCATTAGAACAAATATTTCTTTTTGCATTTAGTTTAATTATTGTTCTTTGTTGAACGGATAGGTCGTTTACTAAAATTTTAATATTAAATAAGAGTAGGTAGAGAATTTTTTAATGGTTTTTTTATAAACATGTACTTAAAATATTTTCTAGACGCTTTTCGTTTTTCCGCCACCATTTTTTATGTTTAATTTCCAGAAACTTCATTACTTTTTGTGAAAATTTTGCATGGTTTTCAGTATAAACATAAAAAACGCACCTCATATAGTAGTATAACCAATCCTATCTGTTTCGCAAAATAAGTTGACACTGCCTATCCCCAACGTTCAGAACAAGTCCAAATACCAACTCATAACTCATAAAATTCGACAGAAATATAATTATATTATTAGCTAAAATATGAAGGTTTTCTCATGTTCGAGTCTTTCGGGTGCAAAAAATGCTAGAAATCACAAGAAAACACGTCAAAAGTTACATTTCTGAAGTTTTTGAACGAATTTCTTTAATATACAACCACCATAACTTGCAAAATATACTCAATCGTCTTTTTTACTCAAAATAAGTCGACTTTATATTTTCTGACTGACTCAAGACGTTCAAAATTGCCATACAAGTCGAAATATGGTTCAAAACTAATAAATTTCCACATAAATATAATTTCTAGTCAAAATTCGAAGTTTTTATTGGCATTCCCGTACCACGTAGGTGCAGGAAACGTTAGAAATGACAACAGAACAGAATTTTGTTGACATCAACACTGTATCAAAAATACATAGGTATATCAATTCAATCTATCGTTGGGGGGAATAGAAAAAGTTTAATAAGCGTTTTCCTATCTACATGATATTTCTAACATATACAGTGTGTCTCAGTACATTAATTTTAACCAGTAACAGAACTCCCGTTTCACAAGTTCTGTTTTTTATATAGCATTTTTTCGAAAACTCAAGTTGAATTTAGAATTTTCCCGTCCATATATTCACGAGCCGTTTATGTTCACCTCAAATAATACTTTAAATAATAACAACACTACAACAATAAAGAAGGTACCCTAGCAAACGATTTGACACTGACAATAATTTTTATGTCCAGTGTATGTTATTAAACGTCGTGTCTTTAAAGTTTGTTTGGCACAGATCTCTAATTTATAGACGAAATGTGTTGAAATGGCTTTGTTTTCAAATCTTGAATACACCGATATCGTTTTAACCTACGGTGAAGCTCGGGGAAACGGCACTCGCGCCCACAGAATTTTTTCAGAAAGCCTCCCAAATCGTCGTCTGCCAAATGTGCCACTTTTAAGAACGTTGCAGCATCTTCGAGAGTACGGATCTTTTAAACTTGCAGCTCAGGATCGGGGTAAGTTATGCAGTAATAGAATTGCTAATCTTGAAGAGGCTGTTTTGGAGAGTGTCGAAGCTCGACCGGGCACTAGAACGCGTCATTGTCCAGTGTGATGTATCGGAGAGTAGTATTTGGAGGATACTCAGAGAACATCTGTACCCCTTTCAAGACCAGAAACTTCAGTTATAAAAACCAACAGACTTACCACGAGGCAAAATTTAGTGAGTGGGTTAATAGAAAAATAAACGAACAAGCAAATTTTGTATCTCTTATACCATCAACTGATGGCCGGATACACGAGCGAAGTCCACATTTGGGCCGATGAAATTCCGTACGCCATTAGAGAGCAGCATTTTCAATTTCTCTAAATGTTTGTCATGTTCACAAGATTAGGAAAATACGTATCCTAGCAACTGTTTTTGACCATAAATTATTAATTATAAAAATTATTAGTGTCCATGAGTGACTGAGAATCTATGGGCGAGTAACCTTAATTGGGATAAAAATTTAACAAATTCTAACTTGATAATTAAAAAGTTCCTGACAAAACTCTATTAAAAAAAATTGTTGAGTTTGATGAAATCTATAACTGAATAAAATTAATGTACTTGTTTCTGAAACACCCTGTATATATGTCTAATTTTACGACAATAGGTCCAGTACTTTCGAAGATTATCTGTTTAATAAAAATCGACATAGACGACAGATAGACGGAAATGTCTAGAAAACATGAAAATAACCAGTCGCACGATGGACCCTATTACAATACCCATTTGTTTAGCTTAGGCTCAGGAAGTAAAACTTCACGTGATAGGAGACTGTAATTATAGATATAATATTTCTTTCCTTACACTCGGAAAGTAATTAATGTTATAACGCTACGGAATTTGATCCATTTTTACGGCATTCACTGTTTTATTCGATAGATAGTCCACTAAAAGTTGGTTAATTCGATAATACGAGTATTGTATTGTCCTTTTGAAAATTTTTGTTTTCAGTTGATGTATTTTATTACCACAATTTGACATATATTTTGGTACAGTTAAACGAAGATGTAAAAATATATATACAGCGTGTTATTGAAAGGTACGTACAAAATAAAATCGGTAATTGGTCTCGAAGTATGGGTGCTAAAAGTAAAAAAAGTTCAGGTAAAAGTGTTCTCCTTTTAGAGATAAAAATGATTAAAACTTATGTCCAAATCCGTTGTACGCGCCTGATAAAATGATCATCTTTCGTTTCTATAGCAATATTTACTATTGACAAAAGTTTTATTGTGAGAGTTGCTAGGATTTACTAAAATAAATTAATTTTACCTATTTATTCTTCAGTAGCGTCTAAAAAGGTTGGATAAGGGTTAATTTTCCCCTTATAATTTTGATAACACAAAATAAGTTTTTCAGACTTCTTAGACTTCGCGAATAACTCTCAATTTTGTTGTACGTACCTTTCAATAAGACCTTGTAGAATAAATAGATACCAACACTCAGACTAAAAACTGTGAGTAGACATGAAGCCACAGTATGAAGCTATCTGTTGTCGTTTTCTGTTTTTTACCTGAAGGGGAGTAGTATGGGAGTAGTAGTATCCTTTTGTGATCATCACATCTTCATCTTTGTTAGATGCATTTCATCTGTATATGTTCATTTCATTTCCATCCTTGTACCACACCAGCGCAGCACATCGATTTTGACAGATGTTTCTTCCAACCTTTCAAGTTCTTATAAGAAAAACAATTTTAGAATTTAGAACAAAAATCCTATTTTAAGTGATGTAATCATAACGGATCACAATCGGTGCCAAATAATTTACCATTCCTTTCGTTATCTACTGTGAATTATTAAATTATTATTTATGAAGTCAAGCTGTCAACCTGTTCCCTGCTGTCAACATCTTTCGTATGAAGTTAGTTCAGACATACTTCCTAAAATTTAGGCGCGCAAAATTCAGATAGTGATCAGGTAAGGATAGCTTCATTGTAATCCCTCTATGTATAAGAGGGATCTGTGATAGGAGGATGTCGTCACAGGCTCCCCTAAGGAAAGTACAGGTCGTGTTGGTATCTATTTATTATATGATCTAAGGTTTCGGTACGTACAGTTGAAGATAAAAAGATACGTTAAACCATGGCCGACTAGTATAAAGATTATGGCCTCTCCAAAGGTATCATACGTGCTGCCATCTATTAATAATTCAAAAACGACAAAAGAATTATTAACACTTTTTGAAAGGCATAAAAGCATTCATACCGAAACAAACGACCATTACACGTTTTGAAGTCTCATAATGTCAAATCAAATTAAAATTTTGCTAAATTATTAAGTGTAATTATTAATAGATGGCAACACATATGGTACACCTCTTGGACAGGCCATAATCTTTATACTAGTCGGCCATGGTTAAACGTACTGTCACCCAGAATGCTTTAAAACAATCTCGTTTAGTGTCATCTGATGTTGCCTATCAACGAATATAATTCACTGCTTGAAAATTGCTGAAAAGGTATGAAGCTGTAATTTTCAGAAGTTAATACCTTAGATCATATAATAAATAGATACCACCATGCCGTGTTCTTTCCTTAGGACAGCCTGTGACGACATCCTCCTGTCACACATCTCTCTCGTGCATGGAAAGGTTACAATGAAGCTATCCTTGCCTCATCACTATTTGAATTTTGCGCGCCTAAATTTTAGGAAGTATGTCTGAACTAACTTCGGAAGAAAGATGTTGACAGTTTGAATTTATAAATAATTCACAGTAGATAACGAGAGGAATAGTAAATTATTGGGCAGCAATTGTGATCCTTTATGACTACATCACTTAAAATAGGATCTTTGTTCTAAATTCTAAAATTGTTTTTTGTACAACAACTCGAAAGAGAGGTTAGAAGAAACATCTGTCAAAAGCGATTTGTTGTGCTGGTGCGGTACAAGGATGGAAGTGAAATAGACATACACAGATGAAATGCATATAACAAAGATGAAGATGTGGTGATCACACAAGGACAGCATTATACTACTCCCCTTGACGTAGAAAACGACAACAGATAGCTTCATGTCTAGTCACAGCTTTCAGTTTGAGTATTGGTATCTATTTATTATGTGATCTAAGGTTAATACTATGTTCAATCGATTTCTTGACCCAAAAAACCCCAACCTGCAAATTTCGAAAAACCGATAATTGTCTATTAAAGCGTAAATTTGTGCTTTAATTAATGGAGTGGAACAACAATATATTGATTTAGAATATGCGCTTTTTAGGATTTTTAGATTACCGTGAATTTTGAAAATAAAGCACTTAAGCATATCAAAAACGACAGGTTTTATCAAAGTTTTATCAAGGTGATGTATTTTCCCTGATAGAATCATGTAGATATAAACTAAGCCTTTCATTAATCTATAATCAGATTGCAAAGCAACATGATGAAAAAGTTTGCAACAATATTAGTGCTTTTGACTATATTACTAAAAGTGTCTGATGGCGGTGAGTATATTATATTTATTACAAAAAAAAAACCACACACTCAAAAGAAGGTCGTGTGGTGTGTTATTTTCCTAGTTGGGCAATTTACATTCCTGATAACGGAAAATTCCAAGCGAAAAACATAGATCCAAATATCTGCACACATGTTATTTATAGTTACATCGGACTGAACCCAAATGGCGCAGTACTAATTCTAGACGACTGGGAGCACACACTTTTAGGTGTATAACAATTAAGAAGTTAAAAAAAAACAAAAGCGTCAACCCATTTTAATTGTAGAGGAAGTAGCACACTTGATGGGTTTGAAAGATGTAAATCCGGACTTAAAAGTACTTGCTTGTATGGGTGGCTGGAATGAAAATTCTGCAATTTACTCACAAGTGTCTGCGCACCCAGAAAAACGGTCTACCATGGTCCAAAGTGTTCTTACTTATTTGCAAAAATACGGTTACGATGGATTCGCGCTCGACTGGGAGTTTCCAGGTCAGCGTGGAGGCGATTCCGATAAAGATTCTGTAAACAGTTGCTGGAATCTCAAAAATAACACTCATTTTGTTTAATTACAGAGTAATTTTGTCACTCTTTTGAAGGAGTTGAAAACTGCCCTCAACGCTGAAGGTCTCACCCTTTCAGCGGGTGTGTCTGCAACGCCTGAATCAATGAACATCTCTTATCCTGATGTTAAAGCAATTTCTGAGTAATTAAGTTTTTATCAGTTTAAATTTGTTGATAATTATGCTTTATAGTAATTTAGATCAAATTAATATATTGTCGTTCGATGACGGTTACTCTGCTGGGATTTCAAACGTTGTAAGTACACTAATCTTTTAGGTTTAAGTAAAGTTAATGCGGATTTCTTGACAGGATGGTGATATTAAGCGGTGGCTGGATGGCGGTGCCGATCCTCGTAAACTTAACATTGGTGGTTCAACGTATGGACGTAGCTTTAATGCGAGCGAGGCAACAGGCACATTGGGATACAATAAGGTACATTTTATGAAGGTGTCTCAGCGATCTGGCATCCTAAGATTGGGCATTTAGTTGTATGGTAAAATATTGATAAACATTTTTTGAAAGTAATCTAATAGATTAATAATTTGGAGGTTTGAAATTTTGCACAAAACATTCTGGTCACTTTGTCTCAATATAGAGGTGAAAAATTGAACAAGATTTATACTTATTTATAGAAAATTTCTGGTTTTTCATATTTTCCAAATGGGTCATATTTTCAAATTTGTTTTTAAATAAGTTTTGAAGTCACTTTTTTATGGTTTATTTTAACATGATGATAAATGTTGTACAATCTTGTATTGTCCCACTGGAGAAAACTTGAAAATTTGAGGACCCTGTAGGAACTCTTCATTCAAAATTTTATACTTCATGCCCTGGAAATAAAGAGGCTTAAAGAGAGTGGCAGACCTTCGTATTTAAATACAGGGAAGTTAAGAATTTGTAAATATTAAATTCTATATAATATCATTTTCCTTCTTTCGGTAGTAAAGAATTTAAAATTGTAAAAATATATAAAGTGTTACATTTAGAAAAATGCAACGCTGGTATGTGTTTTTTAAACGAAACATTCATCACGAAACACTGTATACGAAAAAATAAATAAATTGTTGCACAGATTACATAAAAAAATTGTATCAGTAACAATTAAAGGAATTCTCCTTCAGATATTCATCTGATCTTCTACAGGTTCACCGTTGATTCGCCTGTATTTTTAAAACATTTTCCATGTTACTAAAGCATGAGTAATTTTAACTAGCTCAGTGTTGCAAATCTGCTATCTTCGCTCGTCGAATAAATCTCAGGAATTAAATCGTGTTTCCATCAGTCAGCCGTAATAATTAATAAACAATGAACCATTAACCATAATTAACCCTATACCCTAATTATACCTATCAGTTTATAACAAATCAATGGTTTCATCAATACTGATAATGCTTGTTATTAAGTAAGGTAACTACTAAATAACAACTTAAACTTATTTAATTATAGTTAATCACTGCATTTAACGATCCATTGGTGGTTAATTATGTTTAAGGCAGCTTGACTTGACGATTATAGTCTCGGTACTGTCTTATTTATAAGTTGAATAAAACAATGTTGCGAGGTAAGAATTCTTATTATTATTAATGGTGTTAATATGTGAATAGGTAACTTGGGTTTTAGGCGTCTCTTTCTTTTCATAGAACCAACAGCTAGAAAGTTTACAAAATGATATTGAAAATTAGGTGATCGTTTGGGACGGTGAACACTTGATCACAAATTCCGAAAAAATGTTGTTTACTTTCCTCCTCTGTAGAGGCATATCGATGAAAAACGAATAGAATTACGTTGAGTTTAGTAATATTAATTAGTGGTTCCATATTTATTTTGTAACTGTAAAAACAATCTTAACTTTTTTTTTAGATTTGTCAGTTTGATTCCGATTGGAAGTATGTTTGGGACGATAAACTTCAAGTTCCAAATAAAATTAAAGACGACCAAAAAATTGTATATGAAGACGCAAAATCCCTTGGAATCAAAGTATATACTTCAATTTCATACCATTGTTCACTGTAACTTTTTCTGTTCTTAGGCTGATGTTGCCATTGAGTATAATTTAGGAGGAGTGGCTGTCTGGTCAGTATCTACAGATGACTTTTTAGGATTATGCGGAGATAGTTATCCGCTTATTACTTCCTTATATAATCATTTGAATTAAAATGCTTGCAGAAAAACTTCTGGAACATGTATGTACTTCTATGTAAGAATTTAAATTGAAGAAAATAAAAAAATACACCAATCATAAATTTGTAACAAATTCTCAAAACAGAGGTTAATCTTTATGAAATTTTTTATACAAATACATACAAAAAAATTATCACAGTACTAAAGTTTCAGTGTTACTCGATAATAGCTATTTATTATACAAATGTCTTATAAGGCAAATAAGTCGCGAAAGAAATGTTTAGCCACGAGAGCTTGCTCGAGTGGCCTAATTTTTATTAAGCGACTTATTTGCTGTTAAGACACGTGTGTAATACATAGTTTTATCCAACGCCTCCTTCAGTAACAGTACTTAAAGCATCATGAAAATCCCAAAAATTCAATATCGTTAAAAGCTGGTAGCCTATGAGTTGGTTACCGTGTGGTTGCCACGACAAATTGTTTGTTTACGTCAAATTGAGAAAATTTTTGAAAAAGAAAACGGCTTCTGCACTCGTCATATTGATCCAAATGGAAAGAAAACGTGCTCTTCCGGAAAGTATTGCGAAAGATGTTGAAGAAGCCACATCGAGTTTGTTACCGAAGAAATCCAAAGACGCTTATTGCAAGGAATTAAATTACTTCAATAACTGGAAGCAAGAAAATAATGTTTACTTCCTCTTGTCTTGTTAAAGCTCGTTTACTGTCGTCTGAACTAACTCGGTAAATTAACCTTTACACGCACCCTGCCTGTAAAGCGTTACCGTGGCAGCTTTACAGGCACCGTGCCTGTAAAACGTTGTCTTGACAGCACCGGAATCAAACACACATTCGCTGCGTCGGCCTTTTTCTTAATCTCACTAATACTGTGCTAATACTAACGTTAAAATCACCTTCAAACTCTTCATCTTCATCGAATTCCACAATTAACAGAGCTCAGAGACAAAATTAAACTATTTAAATTATTAATCGAATTTACAAATTGACATCCCGTTATTTTCAAACATTTCAATTTTCCATAGTTACCGGAGCAAACTATGAAAAATGACTATAATTTCTATGACTGTAATTTCAAGTAAAATTTCTAGAGATGCCAAAGTTGTTCATTTTCAGGATTTTCACCAAGAGGAAGTAAAACGTTGTACGCGGCTCGCTTGCAACTAGCCTTTACTGGGGCTCACCGGATTACAGAGCTCGCTCCTACGTCGCTCGCCCTGCAAACATTCCGGTTCGCCCGTAAAGGCTAATTTACTAAGCTTGCCACGTAAATAACTATTCTGGTGTAAGCGAAGACGTTGTGCTGGGTTACTTCTTTAACGTCAGCAAAAGAGTTGCGGCCTCTTCAATGTGGACAAAATATTCCATGTTAAGAGCGACATTAAAGCTTCACGAAAATGCTGATATTTCGCAATATGGCAGATTGATCGCTTTTTTGAAGAACGAATCTAAAAATCACAAGCCAAAGAAAGCAAAAGTTCACAAGGCTACGTTGAAGAGTCAATTTCCAGCAAAATAATTATTGCTAAAAAGATTCTGGGTGAAAATTCGAGAACGGAAAGCAATGTTGAGAGTGTGAAGACAAAACCAAACGAACGTGGGAACGACGTTGAAGTGACAAACAAAGAAGCAAATAATGTTTTATCTCTCAATATAAACATTAATCTGAAGCTGGACAAATGATTCATATAATTCTAATTTTATGTATTAAACTTCTTTGTGTACAATAAATTGTTCAATTTTCTCTAAACTGTTTAATTATGAAAAAACAGTTTAATTATCAATTCATAGTTCCACTAGTGACTTATGGGCCTTCTAATGTGTTCAAAATTGGCAATTTTATGACCTTATAATCAAGAGGTGTTGGATAAAGTAATTAAACTTTCTTAGACAAATTATTCCAAATGTCTTTGAAAAATATCATAAGTCATACTTTTTATTATGAATTATCTACAGAAAATGTAAATCTAACTGAAAAATTAATAATACATGACTAATGAGACATCAGAGGAACAACAACACCAAAAAGCCCAAGCAACACGTTTGAAACGTTACCATTAAAGTCAAAAAAACTCATCATTTCAACTGCGTAAAGTCACAGTATAGATCATTGATCTCTTGATCTCTATAGTGTGGTAAAGTGAACAACTCAGATAACCCAATATACATACAAAATAAAGATAATTACCAACGTCTTCCACACATCAACGTTAACGTCAGCGTATGAAAGAAAATAATTAAAAAAAATGAATGTTTGTATTATTACAGTTTTTGCAATTCCCAAAACCAAAATCATAAAAGCGAAAAGATTGTAGTCCAATTCATTTGTAATGCATTTTATAAGGTAGTTACTGTCAGACTACAGTAAATCACCAGGAGTTACTAATTTGGTAGGTAATGCATCTTTGAAGAAAGTTCCAAGACTTTTCTGTTACACTGTATAGGAGTATTAGATATTTTTTTCTCTTCATTCAATGTTTTCATGTTAGTACGATATTTCTAATACTGATACTTTCTTTAGTTAGTTATTTACTTTTAGTTCTAATAAATAACAACATTTTTTATAACTAATATGGAGCAAAAAAATAGGGCAACGTTTTATTTATTTATTCTTGGATTTATGTTCGAAAATTTTATACAGATAGAATCAACAACTCCCTACATTTACAAGTATTGTTTGATGGTGTTCAATATTGGGTATTTTCCTCCTCCACACAATCCACGGAAATCGTCAGTATCCAAAGACCAGACCATAACACCAGCCAGTCCCTTAGAATTGGCATATTCGACCTTTGCTTGAATAGATTTTGCGTCATCATAACCAATCCATTGGTTACCATTTATGATATGTGGAACTTGTTGTTCATCATCCCAGAAGTACTCCCAGTCGCTGTACAATTCACAAACCTGTCCAAATATTTACATTAACTCGTATTCTTAATTATCTAAAACTAATATACTTCGTTGTATCCAATTGTACCCATAGCACGCGTGTATGGACCAGCTTCACTTCCACCATAAGTACCAGCATACAGTGAAGTATTTGTAGGATCAGCCAAAGTGAAACCACGTCCATAAGTTCCAAGACCCATATTAATTTTCCCTGCTGGTGCACCTTGATCCAACCAGTATTCGATTCCGGCAGCCTGAGTTTACCAATTTACACATGCAAGAAATATTGAATATGCTTCGTACTTACCACGTTCAAAGTTTTCTGTTCGTCAGTTACGTCAAGAGATGAGGCATACAGAGGAGCGTAATGACCAACGAAGGGTTCAAAGGCACCATGGAAATCGTATACCATGACGTTGATCATATCAAGGTTCCTAAAAGAATTCGTTGTAACGTTTTAGATTACGGTTATAGAATCATAATTACGCTGCGACTCCAGGAATATCGTATGAGAGTTCGCAGGAGGCGATACCTCCCGAAACAGCAGCTGAAAGAGTCATACCTTTGGCGTTTAGAGCTTCTTTTAGTTCTCCAAGGAGAGTTACAAAGTTAGCCTTAGGGAAAAATTGTAAGTACATCAGGGGAACATTTTGCTAGTGATTTACCTTGTCTGCGTCTTCACCACCTCGCTGGCAAGGGTACTCCCAATCCAAGTCGAATCCGTCGAAGCCATATTGGTCGATGAAGGCTAGTACTTGTTCTACCATCACAGCTCTTGTCGCTGGGTTCTTCGCTACTGTTGAATATTTGTAAGACCCTTCGTTCCATCCTCCCATACTAAGTATGATTTTCAAGTCAGGATTTTGTTCTTTAAGACTCATCAAGTGCTCCATTTCATCTAATTGATAGTTTGTTAATACAATTTACACTTGGAAAGAGATGAATTCTTACGTAATCCAGATATCTCCCAGTCGTCGAGAACTGACACATATCCATCATCTCGAAGACCGACGAAAGCGTACAAGATATGAGTACAGAGATTTGTGTCGATGTCAAGGGCTGTGTATTTTCCGTTATCTGGTCTGTAGATGGTCCAGCTGGCAAAATAACAAACAACATTCTCTGAAAATGAGAAAAGAAAATTAGGCATGAGAATGGTATTATGTACTTACGAAATTTAGTTAGAGGTACTGTTTTGGATATTTACTTGCTGATGCACCAAGCACCATGAAGGCGCTGCAGCAGGCGAGGAATACCAAGAGTTTAGACATTGTGTTCCAGATGCTGAGCTCACAATTCTTCCTTGGTTTACTTCGAGCTGGCTTTTATTCTGACCTGTGAAAATAATCTCGAGTGGTTGTTATTGGCTGCGGCAAAAGAAGACACGATAAAGATCAAAAGAGAATAATCAACTGATAAATCAAGTGTTTATCAACTCAGAAGTTTAAGGATTTTCACAAAAGTTTGGTATCTTAAGTGGCTCTGTAGTAATAGTAAAAAAATATTTGTTTGATGGAAACATATTACTTTAAAGTTATTCATTTGCGGCAAAAGTCGATGAAAATAGATTGGTTTAAGTTAAAATTGATTACTGCTCTTAATTTAATTTTAGCTTAGTTATAGAATCACTGATACACTAGAAGATATAGTAATAAGAAATAATTATATTTACTGGGTGCTTCATATTTTATCAGGTTTTGTAACAATACAGGAATTTTTTGAATGACTTAATGTATAGGTACTATAACAAAGTTGTACTTTTGTTGATGATTAATGGGTTCAATTTTTGATCCCATCTTGATAGGTACTTCATACGAGAACTATAAGAATTCCCTCGATCACCCCATGTTTTGGTTAAATGACGTTTGTGTGAGTACTCCAAAGTTCCACTGACTTTATCTAAATTGGTACTTTATTAAAAAAGCCACAAGTTGCTCATGTCGTTGGTTAGTGACTTCTGCATGAGGGTTTCATGAAATTTAAGTACCGATGATCACGACATTAATTCGTTTCTCAAAAAAATAAATAAATACCTTAAATAAAAAGTATCAAATATTTACCTGAGTAAATAAATTTAAATTTGAAAAAATATGTTTCCCCACGTGATGCTTACACATATCGTTGAATGTCCAATGGTGCATTTGTTGTGTTAATCACTACTAAATGTGATCTAATAAAGTAAGGAGTCGAAGGAAAAATTAAAATTTGGTGTACCTAATGACGAACCTTTAAATGTGAAATGAACTTAGACGTAGAAAAGATCTCTTGGACAGGTGTTTGTCATACCTCTGATTCGCAAATCAAAAGAAATTTTGAGTTAAAGTTGCAAGGAAACGCATACTGAACATATTCTAGTCAGTTTTTTTTTTAATAAAAGGGTTTAAAGTACTAGGTAAATTTTATTATGAACTTTTTAACTAACAAGCACAATAATCTAAACATCCAGTCTTCTACTATCTCAAAAAAAAACAATGTCTCTAAACAGACTTGCTGAAGAGACAGACAGATTATTTTAAACACACACTGTTCTCATAAGAGTTATAGGGTATTTACGTGTTAAATCTATTCTGCAAAATTAAATCAAAATTTTGTGGTAGGTACTAGATGTTTATTACTGGTCACATATTTTAAAGATTTTTTTTATTGAAGAAGGCATACATTTGGCTGAAATAATTTCAACATGTCACTCGCAATTTTTATACTATACATTTTTCTATATTTCATTTATGACGGATGCTTATAATAATAATATTATATATATTATGATTTTGGGAATAAATTTCAGTATATCCCGTATACTGTCATCTGACGGCAATGTTCTGAAACCCATACGGTGTATGCAGAGTGCAAATGATAAGATAGACTTTGCTAAAAACAATAATATATATTTCATTTGAAAATCAAATCATTAAAGGACTATTTTACGTTCACGTTTTATGTCTAATAATAAGATCTTTTATTTCTTTTTTTACTTCCCGAGCGTAAGCTGAGTAAGTAGTGAAATCTAGCCCATCGGTCGACTCTCTACTTTCATGTTTTGTCGACCTTTCATGACCCCTAGACTACGAAGAAGTAGGTCTGGTCTTGCGTTTCCGTCTGTCTATTATACTGCACCTAACCAAAGTGATATATACTTGTCCAAAAGTTATAAGGTTATATGACCATCATAACAGTAGTTGATCGCAAATAAATACCCCCTTTGTGTGGTTCGCACTAAGCTTACCGGTTGGCAATAAATCGTCTTCTAAACATTTCTTGCTCACATTTAACAGGGCCGGCTTTCAAAGCGAGTGGTTATTTCGGAACCCTCAGCGGCTGGAGGTAGTAAAGAAATAGTGGAGTGGTGGATTTTCATATTTACTGAAAGCCACCCCTGAACGAAACCACAACAGGCGGTCGAGCTGCAGTGGACACTTTATTTACGACCCTAAAACCTTTTCTATTGTAAACAACTTAACTTCGACACAATAGGATGATTTTATGATGGCCATATAACCTTATAGCTATACGTATCTCTGCAAAAATGTTGATGACGTCATCACAAAATTTTGTATTGGAAAAACTCATTTGAAGCACACGCGAAGCACGGTTCTTTACATTTACTTTAACATTACTTACATATCTTTATTTTAAATTATAGGGGTTTTCTTAAAAAAATAAAATACCCAAAATCAAAATTTACAATTTTTCGAAATACATAGCTGGAAGTTATGTCGATATAACCTTCGACCGATTTTTTAATGAATAATGTTACCTAGAATGAAATTATGTCTGCTTTTCCGAATAAATTTCAAAAGATGCTGTGTTCTGCCATCTGACGGCAATGTTCCGAAACCCCATATGGAGTGCAAATGATAAGACAGATTTTGATAACAGGAATAATTGCAAATTTCATTTGAAAATCATCAAGGACTATTTTACGTTTAAGTTTCATATCTGACAATAAGATCTTCTATTTATTTTTATTGAGAAGAAACTACTTAACTAATAAACAAATACAATCTGACATGATAATCTGAAGAGGAAAGTTAATGATCAATCCGTGCTATTTTAGTAAAAGATTAAGTTTGGACATTGTATGGAGAGAATTTCTGATTAATTTAAACTTAAGATAAAAATCAGTTAATGGGGTCGTGTGTTTTCTTACTAATTAAAATTTACAATCCGAGCACTGCGCTTGAAAGAAAAACATTTAAAATAAATAGGTTTATACAAGAATTTAAATAATGCAACATAACTTCAAGTAAAAAAACGTTTCCTACAACTGTGCGATTTTCTGACTATTCCCTATGTAAAATTACCTTAGAAACGATTTGAAAGAAACAGTATTTCAAACTAATAAAAAAAAAAGTTCGTTTTGCTTTCGGAAATGAAACATGTATTTTTTGTTTTCAGAAACGCCAAATTGAAATAAAATTTTATTTTTATAGAAATTTATTACTACACTATTACAGTGACTAATATTAACCGAACCCTCGATTGAACGTGAAATTTCAGTTTATTGAGTATTGATTGAAACAATGTTAATGTCTAATTGTTGGTCATTACCATTTTGAACAGCATAAGTTTCTACAGGCTTCTCAGGATCAGCAGCTCTTAGACGAGACCCAGATGCACCCGGTTCTTCATCGATACAACCAAGAATTCTATTAGCAGTTGTAATTGGAAAACTTTTCGCTGAAGTACGCTAATAACACGTTCTCGGAAAATTTTTGAACTTTATTGCGTTTGCACCAAGTCTTGAAATTCTCGTATACCATTTGGTAGCGTTCTTTTGATTGTGCGCGTAGTGTGACATTCATCACTCATTTTTGAACTAGCACAAGCGGACACGAGACGTAAAAATGGCGATTGAAAACATTGAAACACATCAAATTATTAATAAAATACCTTAGCAACGCATAAATGGCACTAACTTGATAGAATGTATCAATTTAATGAAATTTTAATTCTAGATTATTTTAAAGAAATCCTTCCAGTTGTAGGAAAAACGTTGTTTATAACACATGCCGAAAAAGGTTACGTTCATGCGTGCATTTTTGCGTAATGGTTCTTTTTCGGCACTTTTTATAAAAATAACTATTACAGATCTAGTTTTCAAAATAAGAAAGGGTAAGTATATGAATGGTTATAACTCATTTTAGGTTTTTACTACATTTAATCATGATTTTACTATTGTAAGAAGTAAGTTAAAAATAAATACATAAAGTTACACTCATTTGATATCAAAAGAGGTTGACGTAAATGCTTTGTATTTTACACGTTACTGACATTTATTGTGTACTGACGACGCTGATATAGATTATCATCGACAGATTCGAAAAAAAATGAATTGATGATGTATAAATCATGTACAACCTAAAATCTTCCTCTTGTCAAATCTATTCTTGTTTTTGTTCGATTATAAGTATACCCATATTTAAAATTAAATATTTCCTCTGTTTATCACATATCTTGGGAGTTATTTGAAATTTTATTTTGGTGTTTTAACAATAATACTTATAACAATATAACTTGTTCGGAACATCGAAGGACAGGGGTGCATCACGCTCCACCCTCTCACCCACCACTGTTCGTTCACTTTTAAAAATAGATATACATTTTGTAGATTCTAGAATAAACCGTGATAGAGTATCTCACTGAGGCAATATTAGCTTAATTTTGATCATCCATTGTGACTCAAACATTGTGATCAGTCATTGTGACTTGATCCTTCAAGTCGACATTTTCGTTAAATGACCTATTTATGAGCCAACATAACTATTAAAACATGATTTTTATTTAAATTAAATTAAATTTACTTTAACTATAAATTACCATTTCTCTAACATATTTTCAATAATCGGTACAAACAGATAAGGGAAGGCAGTACAATATCTCGTTTGTTTCATAAAATAAAATTGGTGATAGTTTTTTGCCTTAATTACAAATAAATTTGGTTCGCTCATAAATTACTACTGTCAAGATTATCAGTAGTTACGTTAAAAAATTATTTAAAGTACTCCAAGAGCTGTAAGGTTATATGGCCAGCATAAAATTATCCCATTGTGTCGAAGTTAAATTGTTTACAATAGAAAAGGTCGTAAATAACGTGTCCACTGCAGCTCGACCGGCTGCTGTCGTTTCTTTCAGGGGCGGCTTTTACTAAATATCTAACTGCCTACTACTACTACTACCTGCAGCCGCAAAGGGTTCCCACATAACCAGTCACTTTGAAAGCCGGCCCTGTTAAATGTGAGCAAGCAATGTTTAGAAGACGATTTATTGCCAACCGGTAAGCTTCGTGCGAACCATACAAAGGGGGTAAGTATTTATTTGC